CGGTTCGATCCCCGGCTGCTTCCCGGCCACCGGCGGAGGATCCCACATGGCGCGCAGACCTCTCCTGCCGCCCGCTGCTCCCCTCAGCAGTGTACTTCGGTCCTTCTGCCTGCTCTGCTCCCCGCTCTGGCTCTGGTGAATTCTCTCACCCTCCCGCGCTTCTGACTGTACCCAGTGCATGTATAAACAAAAACAAACAAACAAAATAAATAAATAAAACATGCCTCTATAAAAAAAAAAATAAAAAATAAAAAAAAAAAAAAAAGTAAAGGAGAAATGGCCAGTGCCGAGCGATGGGCATCTCTCGGGACAACTGGCACAAACACCGCAAGACCGGGGGCAAGAGAAAGCCCTACCACAAGAAGCGAAAGTATGAGTTGGGACGCCCAGCTGCCAACACTAGGATTGGCGTTCGGCGCATACACACAGTTCGAGTTCGGGGAGGCAACAAGAAGTACCGAGCCTTGAGGCTGGATGTGGGGAACTTCTCTTGGGGCTCTGAGTGTTGTACTCACAAAACAAGGATTATTGATGTTGTCTACAATGCATCCAACAACGAGCTGGTCCGCACCAAGACCCTGGTAAAGAACTGCATCGTGCGTATTGACAGCACACCATACCGGCAGTGGTATGAGTCCCACTATGCACTGCTCCTGGGTCACAAGAAGGGAGCCAAGCTGGCTCCTGAAGAGGAAGAGATCCTGAACAAAAAGCGATCCAAGAAAATTCAGAAGAAATATGATGAAAGGAAAAAGAATGCCAAAATCAGCAGTCTTTTGGAGGAGCAGTTCCAGCAGGGCAAGCTTCTTGCATGCATCGCTTCAAGACCCGGCCAGTGTGGCCGAGCAGATGGCTATGTGCTGGAGGGCAAAGAGCTAGAGTTCTATCTGAGGAAAATCAAAGCCCGGAAAGGCAAATAAGTCCTCCTCCCTCCTCTCTTAGCTCCTGTAATAAAGGTCTTTGTTGTTCTTTGTTAAAAAAAAAAAAAAAGTAAAGGAGAAATGGGCACTTACTGGGTACAGAGTTCTCGAGAATTTAATGGAGACAGATTTTCACTTTGGGTGATAAAAGCCCTCTGGGCCAGTGAGATGCTTTACACGACATGGCCGTACTTAATGCTACTGATCTGAATGCTTCAGCATGGTTAAGATGACAAATTTCAAGTTGTGTATGTCTTACCAAAATGTTAAATGAAGGCCAAGTAATGATTATCAAAAAAAGAGGGGGTCTCGTGGAGGGGAGGTGTGAGTCGTTGCCAGCCTAGTTATCCTGTAAGAACTTGTTAAGGGAAGTTCTGTCAGAAAGATCACGGTTGAGGTCAAAACTAAGATTTGCACAAAGAGTGTTAGAAGTGAAATACATAGTTTCAAAATAAAATTTTGACTTTTCTTCTTTTGTTTTTCCTTGCTTAAAAATTAAAGCAGTAACAGTAACTCTGTTGGTTATTGATAACATGTAGAAATGAAATCTGTGACAAGAGTAGCATGTTCTGAAATCCCACTCTAGGTATGTATAGGTTTGTTTTGATTACTTGAGATTCATTCATGTTGTATTTATCAATATTTCTTTTCTGTGCTGAGTAGTATTCCATTGTATAAATAAGCCACACTTAGTTTATTCAGTCTCCTATCAATAGACATTTTTAGTTTTGAGTTGTTATGAGTAAAGTTGCTGTGAATATTTTTCTGTAAGTCTTTTTTGGTGAAAAGATGCCGACAGTTCTAGCTCAGTTCCTATTTCAGCATAGCTAGGTCCTAGCTTCTGTGGCTTCAGAACTCTGTTTACAGAGTTGTTAACATAAGGATCCTGTCTCTCCAATTCTTCTGCCTCCTCCGTGGTGGACTGAGTTTTAGTCGTGTGAAAATCAAAAATGCTAAATATAGTCCCCAAGTTTTGAGCACCAGGTTAATCACTTTGCATGCAGCCATGGTTAAGAGCGTGGTACTTTACTAATCTGTGACCTCACTTGTCTCAGCCTCAATTACTGCTGATGTCAAATGAAGATTATAATGCTTGCCTTGGGATTATGTGAGAAATAAATAAGTTAAACAGGCTAAGCACCTATGCATTCAACAAGTGAAATCACTATTATTATTTTTGAGTGTCAGATGGTGAAAGGTACATATGCAGGGAAAGCCTTGGGTCTGTCACCAGCTGTGCCACTGATTCACTCAGTGCCAAAGAAAAAAGTTCCTTCACCTCCAGGGCCTTAGGTTTCCCATCATGTAAGTGGAAAGTTAGGACTAAATCGGTGGTTCTCAGCCACTGTTGAGGGATTATAAACCCTGTAAAAATCTGATGAAAGTTTTAGATCTGCCTCAATAGACAACTCCATATATACATACAATTTTGCTTACAACTTTAAAACATTTTAAGACCAGCCCATCCAGCCCACTTATGACTTCTTGTTATAGAGACAGTGCTCTCTTTTCCTTTGTACATAGTCTTTCTCCTTCTGACTTTTTTTTTAAGATTGATTTATTTATGCATACAGGAGCTGGGGTACAGGCAGAGGTGTGGGGGATGAGAGGATTCACCAGAGACAGTGGGGAGAAGAACAGGTAGACGGACCGAAAGCACTGCTGAAGGGAGCAGCGGGCGAGTCAGGAGAGGTCTGCCGTGCCATATGGGTCAGCTTCCTGGCTGGGGATTGAACTCGTGCTGCAGAGCTGTGGATACTTTTGTAGGTTGTGTCTTAACCCGTTGTGCCACCAGGAAGGCCCCTCCTTCTGACTTATTTCACTTAGCACCAGCCCTTCCAGTTCCATCCATGTTGTCTCAAATGGCAAGAATTTATCTTTTTTATGTAATATTTCACTGCGCATATGTACCACCTCTTCTTATTCCGCTTATCTGTCCTTGGGCACATAGGTTTTTTTCCATAGTTGGGTAAGTAAATAATACTTGACTAAGTGAACATAGGCATGGATAAATCCCTTCGAATTAGTGTTTTTGCATCATTCGAACACACCCTAGGAATGGAATTGCTGGATCATATGGTAGCTCTATTTTAATATTTTGAGGAACCTCCATACTGGTTTCCAACAGTGTACTGGGGTCCCTTTTTCCATACCCTTGCCAACACTTGTTTCTCACTTACTGATCTTCCTGTTGTTCCTGGTGTTTCTCACTTACTGATCTCACACTGATGTTCCTGGTCCTAGCCTAGATATAGGGATATTGGGAATTGTAGTCCTCTTGTGTGTCCCGGAGGAAGACACAGGCTTGGTGAACACTCAGCCAGTCTCTCCCATGCCCTCCCATCCCTTTTTTCATAATTTCTTTTTTACTCTTCTTACAGAATAGTAAATAACAATTTCAAATTATTTTGAATTCACTTTGGAGGCCAAGCTGTGCTTTCCTGAGTGGGATGCTTCTCCCATGCTGCGTGGATATTCTGTTCAGTGGATTTTGCAACTACATTCAGGGGGTTCACAGACCCCTCTAATCCTAGCCCTGGTCTGGGTTCAGATTTCTTGGGCAAGAGGGATTTTCATGACCTTCTCTATGAAGAGTCAGCCCATCTGGGGAGATAGAGGAACACCCAGCTGGGACCTTCCAGAGGAGCGCAACAGACCCCCAGCTTGATGGGACTTGAAGTTGGGATTTGAAGCTTATCGTGGGATTTGAAGCTCCTCCCTGTTTTATTTCCTAGAGCTGCCTTAACAAAACCCCAAAGACTGGATGGCTGAAAACTAAGGAAATTTATTGCCTCGGTTCTGGAGGCAAGAAGTATAGCATCAAGGGGTTAGCAAGGCCACCTTCTCTGAAGGCTCTGGGGAAGAAGGTGATTGCCTCACTCATCCAAGCTTCTGTTCTTGTTTGAGAACTGGCCGTCCTGGGCGTTCCTCGGCTCTGGCCACATCACAATCTCCTGTTTTCCCTGTGTGTCTATGCAAGGCTTTGCTCTCTGTTTCCCCTTCTTAGAAGAACATTAGTTATTAGATTAGGGCCAACCCTAGCCCATTAGGACCTCATCTTAAGTAATAACATCTGTAAGGACCCTATTTCCAACTAAGGTCATATCTTGAGGTTCTGGGTGGGCAAGTATTTGGGGACCCCTTGTGAAATCTAAAGCTGAATCCCTTATACCATTCCCATATTTCTCTAACATTCTATGTCATTTGCTTATTTATTATGTTTATTTTTCAATTGTTTCCTTCCCCTTTGAGAATATGCGCTCCACAAAAGCAGGAGTCTTGTGCATTATGCTCGCTGGTAGAACTCAAGTACTTGAAGAGTGTGTTGGCACACGTGTTGGGTGTTTAATAAATATTGCTTGAATAAAATGAAATAGGAGGGAAAGGTTTTATCAGCTGAGCGCAATGGTAGAGTTTAGAAATGGAATAACAGCACCGTGGGCAATTTGACTATTTTTCAGAAATGGATTGGGGAGTATTTGGAATTGGAAGTTGTGCTAAGAACAACCAGGAAACCTGGTTTTGAAAGAAGGTGGGGACGGAGAGGTAGCAAGATGGTTGAGGCAGGCATATGGCAAGGATAGCCCGACCCAGAGGAATATCTGGTGTTGAGATTCAAATTATTTTGAATTCGTTTTGAATGATAATGACAAGAGAGTCCAAGACACCATTTTGAATTGTCTGCAGTGTCCTATTGATGTCACACACAGCACAACAAGTCTTGATTTCCTTGTTGCCACTTGGGGGTGGAGGACATGAACGTCACAGGGAAGGCATGTGACCCACATTTGGGCCATTGTCAGGACAAAGACAAAGGAACGACAAAAAGGTGGAATCTACAACAAGAACCAGCCAGAGGTGATCAAGACAAAGTAAAATCCAAAGGCCATCACCCAAATCTTAGAGAGGGTATTGCTTTTCTGCTGGGGGTAGAAGATACCCAGCTGTGGATTTCCAGGAGATTCCCACTGACCTGTGGGCCCGTGGCAGGAGGACAGCGCCTCCTGTAGGGCTGCTGTGAGAATTTAGGGGGTGGGGCTGGGTGCCCACAGGTGGGCTTGGGCGCTTTTCTCCCCTGGTTCCTCCCACGCCCAGTAGGGGGCGCTCAGCGGGCCATGAGGCAGAGCTCATAGGTGGGGGGGATGTTGCCAAAGCCTGAGACCCTGGGCGTGATGTCAATGTCAGCAGGCGGCACCAGCGAGCGCAGGGAGAAGTTCTGAAGGATGGAGGTGAAGTAGAGGAAGAGTTCCATGCGGGCCATGGCCTCTCCCAGGCAGACGCGCTTTCCTGTGGGCACAAGGGACAGCAGGAGGCCAGGTCACACGTGCACTGGGATATGGGAGCGTGGGGGAGCATTTGGTCCCCACGTCGCCTCAGACCCTGGACTGCCTCCCCAGCATCTCTGAGGTCATGATAATACCCACGTTATAGGGTTATCATAGAGACTCAGATGGTTCCCACATGTCGCGCCCAGCTAGGTTCTGCCATTTGTAGGGGTTCAGCAGGCAGCCTGCTGCATCCCTTTGACCTGGATTCCCTTGGAATCTAAGGTGGAATGATTTTAAAGGAAGCTCAAATATGGAGATTCAGTTCATTTTCAATGTCTCAAATGTTTCTCAAACACCTGCCAGACACTGGGGAAGAAGCTTACCCTCGGATTGTGCTTCTTATTGGCCAGTTACCCACCAAGTGGTTGGAGAGATTAATTTCCATTTCCCAGCCTAGGGGTGAAGTAACTGTTCTAAGACCCTTATAAGTGTGGGGTGGGGACCTGTATCCTCACTGTTGTCCTGGTTCCCGATTTACCGTGGATTAAAATAGTGGTTCTAGGAGATTATGTGTGGGCCAGCAAGTTACTGGTCATAGGCCAAGTCTGCCTTTTCTTGCACTGCCTGCAAACAAAGAATGCTTTCTTTATTTCTAAGTGGTTGAAAAATATCAAAAGGAAAACATTATTTTGTGACACTTGAAATTCTAATTTGAGTGTGCTTGAGTAAGGTCATTGGCACTGCAGTTAAGCTCATTATTGAGGTGCTGGCAATGGTGCAGCAAGTTCATGCAGAGGCCACATAACCAGCAAACCCTAAAAATTCTCTACTTGGTTTTTAGAAAAACCTTGCTCACCCCTCTTAGAGCTATCGTGATTGTGATGATGAGAGTCGCTGGTTCAAGTATTCCATGATTCTGGCTTTCTCGGGTTTAATGACTCTATGAAATTACACTCAGTTTCCTACTCAGCTCAACTTTAGATGAAGGCCAGGGATTAGGGGCCAAACAATCGCATTCTTGGGGAGTAATCAGACCACAGAAACCTACCAGAGGAAAAAGGCACAAAGGCTTCATTCTTCTTGAAGCGGCCCTGCTCATCCAGGAAGTGTTGTGGATAGAAGGCATCTGGGTAGCGGAAGTATTTGGGGTCTTTAAGGACTGAGCCAAGTAGAGGAAACACGTCAGTGCCCTGGGATGAAAATAGGGGCAGTTAAAGGAGAATTGGTGCTGGAGTGTGGGGTAGGAATCAGGAGGAGAGATGGGTGCAGTGGAGGGGAAAGGAGGGGCAAGGAAGGTGCAACCCCACCTTGGGCAGAAGGTAGCCTCGGAATTCAGTATCCCGGATGACATTATGGGGGACGCCCATGGGCACAATATCTGTCAGTCTCTGGATCTCGTGGATCACAGCATCCGTGTAAGGCATCTTGACCCGGTCGTCCACACTTGGGATCCGGTGCGGTCCAATCACCTGGTTAATCTCTTCATGGATCTTGGCTAGAAGGGGCCAGGGAACATTGACAAAGATACAGGACATGTCCCCGGGGTCGGGAGGTGAGCCATGCCTTGGACCTCAGCACCTGTGGATTCTGAGGGAGCAGGTCAGGGGTGTGGGTTCTCTCTATTGAGTGCTGACACATTGGTGGGGAGAAATAAATACTCCCCAGAGCACTGGGAGACACATAGCCTGAGACCTCCAGTATCTGTGGATATTGATCTTTATCTTTTATTTTTTAAATTTACTTTCCCCAACACTATGATTTTTTAAAGAAGTCCTAGAAAACGAAATGTCTATGGTTATGATTATTCCACGAGGGTGGTCATTGAGCTCCTGTTGCAATACAGAGGTTCTTTTACCGCAACTCCCTACGCTTAGACACTCTATCTTAGCCAAAAAGCCAAGAAGCAACACCCTACACTAGCTTAGAGATGGGTCTGGGCTTTTGGCACTTTGCCTAGATCTCAATCAAGTTAGCCAAACCGAATTATACTAATAAAGAACTACCCCTGCCCACCTCACACCCCCAGTTTGGTCTTTATCTTGAAGGCACCGAGGAGCCATGGAAGGCTGGTGACGGGGCAGCGCCCTGGCCCCAGAAGGACTTTCCTGCAGGTTGTTGACACGATGGGAAAGAGGCATCACAGATAACAGAACAGGACTGAGACAAATGATGCTTACAGGACAGTGATTAAGGACCCTAATGGTGCAGTGACCCTTCGCCGCATTTCCTGGATGAATGACCTCACTCAGTACCTCATCCACAGAGTCATTTGTCTTTATCTTCTGTGCCTGTTTCTTAATCTTCAAAATGAATATGACAGTCTGTCAAACCCTTTAGAGTTACATTTACATAAAATCCAGTATGCAAGTAAGCAGGACAGCGTTTAACTCAGAAAGCATCCAATAATGTTTGATTATTTATATTAGTAAAAGACAAGCCCCATCATGGAGGAGAGACTACAAGAGTTTGAATGGAAGCATATTAGTGTCACCCATTATCTGTGGCAGGAAAATCCCCTGGCTTGTGTGGATCTGCATTAGCATAGAGGGAGGAGGCAATATCGGGGATTTTGCTTAAATAAGTAATGGCCCCCTCATTACCAGAGTTACACAACCAGGCCAGCTTATGATGTATTGAAGATGGATCTCTTTGAGGTGCAGCACAGTTGGCTAACTAAGGGTCATCCGAGATATTCACCTGTTTATGCCTGGAACCTGTGATTGTTAGCTTACATGAAGCAAGGGGATTTGCAGCTATCATTACATGACGGCGCTGAGATGGGGAGATTATCCTGGATGATGCAGGATGGCCCTACGTATAACCACAGGTGTTTGTATATGGTGGCAACAGAAGGGTAGCCTCAGAGGAGAGGTGACGATGGAAGCAGAGAGAAATGGGAAGAGGCTGTGCTGCTGTTGTTGAAGACAGAAGAAAGAGATCATGAGCCCAGAGACGGAAGGAATGCAGCTCAGAAGCTGGGACAGGCAGGGCATCTGATTCTACCTTGAGTGAGCTCAGTGAAAGTCTGTTTGAACATTTGGACTCCAGAACTGTAAGAGAGTAGATGTACAAGTTTTCGAGTGGTAAACAGCAGCCTAAGGCACTATAGCAGCCCACAGGCATTAAGCAAAATATTGAAATCAATGACCTTCTAGAGTAGGGATTCAGAAATGCCATCACCTGAGGCTCTAAAGTGTGAAGAATGGGTCCTCCCTGGAGGCACAAGGGGTTTAGACACAACCTATGAAGCTATCCATAGCCACTGCAGCACGAGTTCGATACCTGGACAGGGAGCTACCCACATGGCTCAGCACACCTCTCCTGTCCATCCCGCTGCTCCCCTCAGCAGTGTATTTCAGTCAGTCTGCCTGTTCTGTTCCCCACTCTGTCTCTGGTGAATCCTCTCACCCCCTGCATCTCTGGCCTGTACCCCAGCTCTTGTATGCATAAATAAATAAATCTTTAAAGAAAATAAAGTGTGAAGAATGTAGGGCATGGGCTTCCAGGGTTGCAGGAGGATGTTTTCTTTCCTTTTGGGAAAACCACTGTCACCTCTGGATACTCACCTTCCACCTCTGGATACTTCATCAGCAGCAGCATCCCGTAGCGTAGTGTGGAGCTCACAGTCTCTGTGCCAGCAAAGAAGAGGTTGAGAGTGGTGAGCACTAGATTCCTGAGGTTGAATTCTGTCTGGGGATTATTTTTGTCCTGAAAATGAGAGGGACAGGAAATAGAATCATCCTCTTCTGTCTTTATCTTCTTATTTCCTCCCGGTCAGGCCTTTGTGGACCACCATTAGGTAGGTAGGCTAATGTGTGCCTGGAGGGGGAAATAGTCAGTACAAAGGTCCTGAGGCAGGATTACACCTGGTGTCTTGGAGGAGCCAGTGCTGTTGAAGTGGAGTGAAGAGTGGGGTGCATGAGGAGGAGAAGAAAGTAGAGATTGCCTTGTCAGAATTGAAAGTTCTCGGTTAACAGGGTATATAGTTTTAAACTTCTAAGTGCAGAGGTTCTATAATATAAAACATCAATTTATTAAATTTTAAGAATCTATGATACAATATAAGCATCTAAATTTTTATGTCTCTAAAATTTTAAACTTTAAAAATTTAAACTTCAAAGTTTAAATTCAGTTTTAAAGACTTTCAATGTCTGAGCTCAAATTCTGCCATTCTAAGGGTTTACTTCTCTACAGTGTTTAACCTCTGGCACAGGTGGATAGAAAGGTGTATGATTTTACATTTCCATGTTCCCAATTTTTGAGTCAAATTTTATTTTAAAGTTTACGCCCTTACAATTTCTGTATCTCATCTATAAATAAAAGTAAATCATGGAAAGCAATGCTTTTTTCTCCAGGGTGTTGACAGCTGAGTTTAAAGGTATAGGCACAAATTATGGAAGCCACTTAAGTGTCCAATGACAGATGAGTGTGTAAAGAAGATAAGGTACATATGCACAGCGGGACACTAGTTATTTTTTAAAAAGATGAAATCTTGCCATTTGCAGCAACATGGAAATCTTTCTTTTTCTGACTTACCTCACTTAATGTGAATCCTTGCTGCTCCATCCTTGTTTTTGCAAATAGCAATTATTTCAGGGCGCTAAGTGAAGTAAGTCAGAAGGAGAAAGACAAATGCCACCTGATTTGACTCCTATGTGGACTATGAAGCAATAAAGCAAATGAACAGGCAAAAATAAACCAAAACAAACCCTAGAAATCTGAAGGCAGAATTGAGGCTACCAGTTGGGGGAGGGTGGGGTGTGGTGAGCCAAGGAGGTGGAGAACTGTGTGTGCTGTGTGATGGGTGTAGTGTGGTAACTTACATCTGAAGAGTGTGAACCTAACCCGTAAGTCATATACACTATCATAAACCAGTGTTACCCCAATAAAAAAAATATGGTACCATTTTAAAAAATAAGTGTGGTTGCAGGTGCCAGGACTTGAGCTGATGAGAGGTGGTGCATGGAGAAGAGGAAGAGGTACCTGGTGCATCTTCACCAGGAAACAATCAATGAAGTCCCGAGGGTTCTGGGGGTCAAGGGATGCTTCATTGACCTTGACCCTGGAAGCGATGAAGTCCTTGAGTTCCTCTATCAGATAGTAGATGCGGTTGTGTCTTCCTGGCAAATACTGCATGATGCCAGAGTACATGTCGTAGAGCTGCGGGTGGGCAAAGTGGCATCAGTGATGGGTGTCGTGGGCCAGGATGGGTGAGTCTGTCAAGCAGCCAGGCTTAACACCAGTGCCGGGTCTAAGATGGGGTGAGTCCCTTAGCTTCTCAGGTGCCTGCGCGCGAGGGTTGGGGGACAAGTAAGCTAAGGCTAGGCACTAGGCATTAACTGAGGTGGGCGGTGGAGGGGATGGCGGGGGTAGGGGGGCGGGTCTTGTGGGCACCTGTGCCCAGGATGTGCTCATCTCAATGAAACTCTCATTGATCATCCGCAGCAGCTTCAGGAACTGCTGGTCCTCATAGTCGAAGCGACTTCCAAAGACCACGGAACTGATGACGTTGGAGACAGTGCGGCTCAGGAAGAAGGTGGGTTCGATGGGGGCACCTGGGTGGTGGAAATTGTCTAGGTTGGAAGCCAGGACTGGGAGCATGGCATGGACAGACATTCAGTCCTGACCCTGCCACTTAATAGTGCTTGTGAGTTATGTTATTTTTGCAATCTGTGTCTAGCTTTCCCAGTCTGCAAAAGGATTTAACAATGACTTCACTGGTTCATGAGGGCACAATCCAACTATGTAAAATACTTAGCCAGTCGTTGCTCAAGAGGTGCTAGTGGAGCTTAATCATCTCTTTCTTCCTTAGTATATAACTGTTTAGAGGAGAACTGCAGATTTGGGAAGGAAGTGTGGATAAGGGTCACCTGTTTTGTTTTGTTTTTTAAAGATTTATTTATTTATTTATATAAGCACTGGGGAACAGTCAGAAGCGTGGGAGGGTGAGAGAATTCACCAGAGCCAGAGTGGAGAGCAGAACAGGCAGACTGACGAAGTACACTGCTGAGGGGAGCAGTGGGCGGCAGGAGAGGTCTGCGCACCATGTGGGACTCTCTCCCGGCGGCCAGGGATTGAACTGGCGCTGCAGAGGCTGCGGGCAGCTTCGCAAACCAGCACTCAACCACTGTACCACCGGGGAGGCCTGAGACACCTGTTTTTTAAGGGGGTGCGGAGTCTGTATGTCTCTACCAATGATGTCATTTGAGCTATTAAAAAAAAAACAGGATGCTGGCCAGGATCCAGTGGTTTGGAGAAAATTTCTCCCAGGTTTATGCCCATATTTGCCAACATACAATATCACAAATAATAGCTGAGGGCACATGAACATTCAAAGTCTTCATGTGGATGGTTTTGCATCTACGGAGCCCAGGTGAGGCATCTCTGATATAGAGAAATTTAGCTCCATTTCTATCTTTTATTTTATTCACATCTGTATTTCTCAATCTCTGTCTTTTTCCCTCTAGACTCCAGTGATTTTACACTTTATTTTAAGGCAATTACCATATACCTTTAAAAATAAAATAAAATAGGCATCAAAGGTTGATTAACAAGATAAGAAAGCTCTAGAGATCTGTTTCTCAACAACGTGTATATAGATAACCCTGCTTAATGGTATCACTGGAAATGGTTAAGATAGTCAAATGTGATGTGTGGTTTTTACCACAATTCTCTGTGTGTGTAATAAAATTACACCCTGTCCCAGAAACAAATACAGACTCACATAGTGCCTGAGTCTGCATATGATGCCAGGAAGAAACTAACTCCCTGAGATTCACTGATTAAAGACTCTGGACAAGTGGTACTCAAGGGTCTTTCATGTTAACTTGTAACATGAAAGCTAGTTTGGAAACCTTTAGTAGTTTTCATCCTCTCCCATTCCTTTTCTCCCAGAAAGGCCCACCTTCTCATGACTCAGCTCTCTACAGCCACCCAGTCATTTGAAGCCCCCCTCCCCCACCCTTGGTGTTCTGTAATGCCTCCATACCCTTGGTGTTCCGTAAAGCCTCTAGCAGGAAGCCAGCCTCCTCCTGGATCCGCTCCTCAATGCTCCGCTTTCCCATGCCAAAGTCCCGGAGAATAGTCAGGGAGAAGCGTCGGAGAATCCGCCACCGGTCCCCATTAGCCATAACTACACCTGTAGGAACTCAGTGTCAGGCTCCTGCCTCCCCTCTCCTTCCTGGGCCCAACTCTCTGTTAGACAACTGGATAAATAACCCAATGGAAGCAATGAAGTGTGGAGGGCGGCTGTAGCCATAGAGAATTTCCTGAAGTGAGGAAAATTTACTATGGGCTGTTTGGATTCTCTAGACATACTCATACATGTCCACAAAAGCTCATCCTTGTAAATCCACATATCTCCACCAAAGAAGATACTATGTTGTGAGAAACATTTAGAAATTTCCAGAAATTACCACCCAGTTGGTAGATTAATAGATGGAAGGAGATTTATGACTGCAACAACTGATGGATGGATGGATGGATGGATGGATGGATGGATGGATGGATGAAAAATTTAATGAATGGGTGAAGTGTTACTAGATGGGTGGTTTGAGATAATGGATAAATGCTTGGAAGGATGGACGGATGATAGAAAGATGGATAGATGGACGAATGAATAGATGGATGAATGATGGAAGGTTAATGAATAGATGGACATGATGGGTAAATGGAAAGTTAATTAATAGATGTATAGATAAATTGAATAGAAAGATATTTGTCTAGAAAAGCTAATTAATGATGGATATTTTGGGTGGATAATGGGAAAATGTCTAGATGGAAGGAAAAGTATGGAGATGAATGAATGAATGGAACTAGGGAAAGAATGGTGTGAAGCTTTTTGGGATTGAAAGATATGGGTGGTTATTGTTGATGTTTAGGAACACTATAGAAAGATTCCTACCTAACTGGAAGAGGCAGAGACTGATGGATTGGGTGCATGTATGTGTAGGAAAATAAGATGATTGGCTAACGAGGGCTCCTGTGGGTATACAAAGAATGTCACTAACCCTTTAATGTTAGACAGAGTGAAAACAGGGTGATGGAGGGAAAAGCACAATGGACTGTGGTGGAGGACTATGGGTGCTTCAGCGGAGGGAGGGCTATGGTGACCACATCCTGGGGGGATTTCTATCAAAACACTGGCAAGGATGTAAAGTAATGGTACTTCAATAACAACAACAACAATAATAAATGAGAACAGAAGTAACGTTGCAAATGCACTGGGGTGCAATTGGGCTCAAAATAGAATGGTTCTACCACCTACTGTGTGGTATTACCTAATCTTTCTCACGCTCAGTTTTGTCATTTGTAAAATCAGCAAGATATTCGTAGCTCTGTAAATGAGTCAATGCAATAATTCATGTCAAGTACTTATCAAAGAACCCGGGACATAGGAAGCCCATCGTTATTATTTTGCATGTCATATTAGTACCTACCGTAACCTAGGAAGTTTCTATCTATTGAAGCCAGTTCTCCACGGCCACTGAAGTCATCTGCTCGGTCTACCAGGGCCTCCTTCACTGCTTCATGTCCACACAATATAACGACTGGCCGGGGTCCCATATACACTGTGAAGACTGGGCCATATTTCTCCTGGAGCTGGACATGAAGGAAACATACAGGAGGGCTTGATTGGGCCAGTCAAGAACTTTAGGGAGGGTCTCAGGTCAAAATGAGCAGACTGGCTGTTGTGGCATCACGTGGGGGGAGGGTATTAGAAAATGGTATTACAGTATTGCAGGATTCACTAACTTGGGTTCATGTGAGATGATACAATATAAGAGGATAAGATTATATAAAAAGCCATTAAAAAAGACTTCCCGAGAACCTTTATAATGACAGGGTGTTTTGCGTAGGAGAGCACTGGGCCTGCCTACTAGCCAGTAGCTCTTTCCTAAAGAGCAGGGGACAGAATACAAGGAGGAGAAAGTCTGCCTTGAACCATATCTGAAAGGAGACAGAAGAGTGGGCCAAGAAATAATCGTGTAGTCAAAATCTGTGGCTCAGCTGTCCTTGAAATATTTTTACAAAGTTGGCTAAACCTGAAATGCACAAGATGGGACTTAACTTGAGCTGCAAATGTATTACTTTAAATAAATATCTACTGTAATTGTTGGGGGAAAATGAGTATCAGGGGGTGAGAATTTCAAGGCAATACAAATATGGGGATATCAATTAACAGTGGTTCTTGGGCTTAGAAGAACTCTTGTCTCCTGGGACCCTGGGTGAAACCCCTGCCTCCAACACCCCCAGAGTTTCAGTTTCTTCGTCAGTGAAATGATGGGCCCACGTGAGATGAATGCCAAGATTCATCTCTCTATGAAAGGCTAAATTTCTAGTTCCTGAGTTTTCATGCTAACGAGTGTCAAAATTCTAAGACAGCCAGTATGCAAGAAAAATTTGTATGTTTAAGAATACAAGGTATTATGATTCTAAAGTCTGGAGAGGGTGAGTCTTCAGTTCCCTTGTGCTAAGCTCCATAAAGTCTGTGCCTTAAGAGTCTGTGTTTCAGAAGCTAGAAGGCTCGATGTGTGTTTGTGGAATTAGTTGCTTCCCACTCTCAGGGAGCCTGGGTCAGACTCACCTTCATGAAGGACTGGAAGGTGGCTTCGGTACTGACTTGCAGCAGGTTCCCCAGGAATGGTATCGGGGTGGGACCAGGGGGCAGCTTTCCCCCTTTCTGGGTCCGTTTCCAGGCGATGAGGATGAACAGGCAAGACAAGCAGAGAGCCAGAAAGATGGTGAAGGCCCCTCCTAGCTCCATGATTTCAGGTAGAGAGCTTGTGTGCCAGATCTTGCCTAAATAGGTTCTGAGAAATCAGCTGTGCCGAAATTGAAACACCCTAGGATTCAAGTTTTCCGAGTATGGGGTTGCTTTATGTGAGGGTGGTGGTTATATAACTTGTAATCTCCCACCTGGAGAAAAGTGGATCAAATTCACTCAGGGAAATCCAGTGGAGTCATTCCCCTTTATTCATATTTCCAGCCCCACAGTTCTTCTTTCTCAGCTTGAACCCTAGTTCAACATGTCTTGGTAAGGTGCTAGCGGGAGCCAGTTGAATGTCATTTTTAGGGTGTTGCATTTAGGAAGCAGATGATCTGGGCTCAAATTCCAGCTGTATCTTTTCGTTACTGGACAAGTCACCTAACCCTCTTGGTCTCAGTTGGCCCATCTGCCAAATAAGGTAACCATTTCTGTTCTAGAAAATCTTGATAGAGAACTGGGATGATTCCTTTTCATTGCCAGCCCCTGACTAGTTTTTTTGAAGTAAAGACAATAAGATGAAGATTCAGAATAGCTCAAGGAATACCTCAAATGAATGGGCTTTATTCAATAAGTTCTCTTGTTTCTACTCAAGTAATATTAAATAGTAATAATCAAAAACCATAAAACCTAATTTGTATTGGTTTATTAGGACCTTGCTGATGTGTGTGTATATACATGCGCAGACATGTATGGGTATATTCATTTTCAAATCTGAGATGGAGAGACCGCCTTTGACCCTCTTCTTGAGGGGGAAGACCACCTCTAGACACAGACCTAGCGATTGCCCTCTCTGTAATAATCTAATATAGTAGACTGCAATCCTATTTGTTCCAAATACTTGTAAATCTTCTTTTACTGTCCTGAAACAAAATTCCTGGGTATTGTATTATATCCCAGTTGTACATATTATTAGAATCCGGTGCGCCTTCTCATGTAGCCAGATTTTCACAGTTGGAAATCGAATCCCCTATGGAACTTGCAGGTCTGGCTTGTTGGACTGAGATGTCTAAAAGTGGTGGGAATTCTGGGGAAACTGAGCCGCTCACACAGCGGCGCCTTCTGGATCATGGATGTGCTGCTGTTATAGGAGCCAGGGTTCTGCTGCTCAGTTCTTTCCAGCCAATTGTCTAGCCACCAGAGACAGGGGACATCAACATGACACGATGGCAGCCTTTCGTCTCCAAGACCAACTTCTCCAAGCTCGGGCTTATATGGAAGAGTAGTAAGGAGAGGGAGAGACAAAGTGTCTCCCTCAGCAGGATTTCAGAGAAATAGGTAGGGGTTACCAGAACTATCTACAAGCCCCCTTTTCCCCACGTTGGTCTTGACGTGATCTGTCATGGGGCTGGCAGGCGTGCTTTCAGCTGATAATGATCTGTGGGGGATAACTCTAGTCTATCTTCTACCTTCATCTTGGTCTCAGTCTGTCTCGCCTGGTTTTCTGGTTTTGTCTGTAAAAAATAAACAAGAACAAAGTGTGGGTAAACAGGTTAAGGATGAGGAACTGGGTTACTGGATAGCTGACACTGGTAGGATGTCCTTCACAGGATGAGAGTTGTAGCTGCCTTCTTTGACTTTCCCAGTTTTCTCCTCTCCCTCCATTCCATCTATCCCTTCCCTCCTCCCTCCTTCTCGCTGACATGTATTCTGCAAGTATCTTAATAACCTGTGATGTGATGGCAAAGGTTGTGAGTCTGGTCTTCCCACTTAGATGGGAAAGAAGAAAGTATTTTTACAGCAGTCCCTCTCACCATCCCACTCCATGCAGAAAGCCAGGAGTCAAGTCACTTGATCTAAAGAGCAAGTTCAAGAGAAAAAATAATTATAAAGATTTCGAGGGAGAAAAGAAGAGAAAGATAGATGATGCCGGGTATCATGTGATGGAGCTACAGGCCAAGAACCAGAGAAACAAAGAGGAAAGAGACTTGCAGAGGAATAGAACCAGTATGAAATCAAAATGGAAGTGGGGGTGGGAGGAGAAAGAGGGGGAGAGCGAGCGAGAGAGAGAGAAACAACCAAGGAAGACACAGACACAAGAGGAATCCAAAGAAACAGAGAGAGGGAGAGACAATCAAAAAGAAATAAAAGGCTAAAAAAAAAGTTTCAGTGGACATCTGTTTAGAGATTAACATATGGCCAAGGAAGAAAAAAGAGAACTCAGAGTTCTATCACCTTTTTCCTCCTCCTTCCCTCTTTCCCCTCCTCTCCCCTCTCCTCTAAAAAGCCCATCAATTTGGAGGAAGAAATCCAAATGGACAAAACATCAGAGACTGACAGGGAGACAGAAGCCGTAAAAAAAAAAAAAAAGACATGAAGACAAACCAGGACAAAGTGAGATGGAGAGTGTGTTGTGGTTAGGATGCCACAGGATGTGTGCATGAAGTGGAACCTACATTGTTCTATGCCTAGGCACATGCCCCTCTTTCTGGGACCAAAAAAATGTTATGATGCTGCCAGGGATATCTTTTATTTATTTATTGTCTTTGTGCCAGGCACTGAACTGTGTGCTTGACAAGTCGGTTGTCTTCAAATTGAAACAACCTACTTACAGAGCAGCACATGTGACAAGAGATGACTCAAGTCACCTTAGAGCTAGTGTTCTTATAATCGGGTGGGTGAATTTACAGGATTTCTGTGAAACTCTCTGAATTGATATGAACTATTGGGCAGTACCTTGCCTACTTGTAGGAAAAGCATTCAGATGTTTTGGAGTGCTTGGATGTATAGTTCTCACTGTCATCTGGTTTGATACACAAACCACATATGACTATATTTCAGAAAAGGTTTATGTTTCAGAGGCACCCAGAAGACCTTTTTCCATAATGATAGAATCTATCCAACTGTCCAGGAAAAGGACTACATTTCCAGGTTCCCTTGCAGCTAGGTGTGACCAGGTGCTCAAGTTCTGACCAGTGAGATGTGAGCAGAAGTAATATATGCAACTTAAAGGGAGCAGGTGGGTTTTCGTTCAGAATATTTCCCTATTTCCTGCTGGCTGGGGTGGAATGTAGGAATGGGGAGGACAACAACTTTGGGAAGGAAGAGTAACAGTATGGAAGAAACATAGATCTTTAACTCTGCTGGTCTGGTCAGTCCTAGATTACTTGAGGGTGCACCAGTAAGTGAAATAAAATTAAACTTCCATTTTGTTTCAGTCCCTTTAAGCTGTTATTTTGGGCCTTTTTGCAGTAGTTAATATATAGCCTAGAAATACAGCTTCTTTAGATAAGGAATGCTTGAAAATCATTGATCCAGATACCTGTTGGTTCAGCTTCAGATGCTTGCCTACTTTCTTGGGTTATGTTTGAATACCACCCTGTGTTTATTTGATAATTGCTTAAATGCACTCAACTTAAATTTATTGAAAATGGAAATTTGATCTCTTGCCTTTAATGGAAACTTAGCTATCCTTTGTTATAACTAGTATGTTAGTTGCACAACTGTGTATTAATTATCTACTATTGTCTAACAAAGCACCTGACAAGTTACTGACTTAAAGCAACAGGGAACTGTTATTTCCAGTAGTTTCTGTGTATCAGTGTAATTTAACGCCCCAATCTCATGAACCCCCGGCAAATTGCTTTCATAGTCTTACCTTCATTTTCATGTCTCCTTTCACTTTCATACTCCAGCTTGGAGTCCAGCCTAGAACCACAGCATATCAGAGCTTAAAGAGAGGTTAGAGATATTTTTAGCTCAGAGCTTCTCAAAAAGTATGAAAATGCGTGATTAGAGCTGAAGCCACCCTGAGTGCAGGCTCTCCGTTGCAAGGGATTGCAACATTTTTGGAGGGAGGCTGTAGCTACTGAGTTAGATACTGTCCTTGGTGTAATAAAAATACTTGAAACTGCTGCACAGACACTGAGCTGGAGCAGGGCCCTGGAGGCCCCTTGGTTGCTGAATTTTGGAGATATTGGTGAGAGGTGGTCCTGGAGAGCTGTCTGAGCTAGCTCTTTATCAACCTCTGTCAAAGGATGCTTCTGCCAACTCCTAGGCCCACACCAGCCTATAGACACTGAATTACAGCTCCGGGTCATGCTCTCCAGAAGGACGTGAGGCAGAGTTTGCAAGTGAGGGGCATGGAGCAGTGGACCTGGTGCAGGAGCTGATTATGAAATGTTTCAGAATTATATGAGCTGGTTGTGAAACAGTCACTGTTAAATTATACCAATTTAAAATTGCATGAAGGTAATAAATATTCTGTGCCCATCATTTCTGAAATACTTGCTTTTGAGGTTCAGTATGTATGTTTGTACACATCCAGTGAAAATAAAAGGGGACGATGCACCTCTGCATTTCTTTCCCCTGCCCCACATTGGGTGACTCCCTGGTGTTTGGCGCTTGAAACTGGCCACAGTGGATGTGTTTACACCACACAAATCAGACAGCTACAAATCAGGGCTTCTCCTCCTCTACCCGTGTCAAGAGCCAGCTGTTAAAAATTTATTTGCACAGCATTAATGGTGCATTTCTAAAGCTAGCGATGCAAGGGAGACTTTCGGCAGTTCTTGAAGTGTTTGCTGATATGAGGGCAGTTCCACGTGGGATGGGACTTCCAGGAAACATCTGCCTCCCATGGGGAAAGGCAACAGAGAAGATTCTATGGGTCTCAATTGGCTCTGGTGTTCCTGTCCTAGTTCATGACGTACAAGGAGCACTCAGTTTATAATGTTGTTCCTGGTGCACAGTGAACACTCTATGGCATTGTTCATGGCGACTGTGAGCACTCTATGGCAGTGAAGATTGGCCAAAATGAACACGGCAGGAAACTCCCTTGCTGAGTCTTTCCTCATCTGTGTTTTGGAGATAACAATAATATGTCCTTCACAGTGTCTGGCGTTTGTGATGACATATCTGTAAAGCTCTCAGTGTAGGCCCTGGCACATAATAAAGAGCTCAGCCAGTGTGAGGAGGGAGGCTTTTAGCATGGTTAGAGGATTGTGATGAGGACCTGGGATTCCCTGACAATCAGCCTTGGACATTATCGGTGCTTCAGTTCCCCAACTGGAA